GAAAATCTGCCATCCTCACCTGGCCTGCCCTACATGTGACTCCAGACCCACAGCAATGTGGTTGACTCTCAGCTGTCCTCTGAAATGGCCTAGGAAGCCATTCAGTTGTACCAGTTGCTACAAAGTTTCAAAGAAATGAAACTGGACAGATCACCTGGCATCGACCTAGACACTGGAAAAAGACAACAGCAAAAACAGTCTTGCCGACCCTGCAAAGCTCTCCTCACTGACATATGGAGGCTAGTGCCAGAATTGGGAAAGCTGTCTCAGAGACTAGTCAAGCAACAGCCTGACACAGTCATACTTGCGGAATCATACCTTACAGACAATGTCCCAGACACCACCGCCACCATCCCCAGACGTGTCCTGTCCCACTGGGAGGACAGACTCAGCAGGGGTGGCGACAGTGGTATAGAGTCAGGAGGGAGTTGCCCTGGGAGTCTGCAGCATTGCCTCCGGACCCCATGAAGTTTCATGGCTTCAGGTGAAACATGGGCAAGGAAACCCCCTGCTGATTACCATGCATTGTCTTCCAACAACGATGAATCGGTATCCCTCCATGTTGAACAACACTTGGAGGAAGCACTGAGGATGGCAAGGGCACAAAATGTAATCTGGGTGGGGGATTTTAATGTCCACCATCAAGTGTGCCTGGGTAGTAGAACAACTGATTGAGCTGGTTGGGTCCTAAAGGACACAGACTGGGTCTGCGGTAGGTGTCGAGGGAACCAACAAGAGAGAAAAAGCAGAAATTGTAGGAAAAGTTCAGATCTGTGGAAGGAAATCAGTTATCATTTCAGATCGAGTAATGCTTCCTCAGAACTCAACCTGAAATGTTAAATCTGCTTTATCTTCATAGATGGAGCCAGCCCTGCTGAGCTTTTCCAGTAATTTCTGTTTTTTGTTTCTTATTTACAGCATCTGTAGGTCTTTTTGATTTTTTTAAGAGGGAAGAATATACTTGACCTCATCTGTACCAATCTGCCAGCTGCAGATGCAATTTGTCTGTAACAGTTCCAGTAAGAGCGACCACCATAGTCCTTGTGGAGTCGAAGCCCCACCTTCACATTGAGAATAATCTCCATCATGTTGTGTGGCACTATCACCATGCTAAATGGGACAGACTTCAAACAGATCTAGCAACTCAAGATTGGGCATCCATGAGGTGCTGTGAGCCATCAGCAGCAGCAGAACTGCAGTCCAGCATAACCTGTAACCACGTGGCCCGGCATATCCCCCGGTCAACCATTATCATCATGCCAGTGGATCAACCTTGGTTTAATAGGGACCCCAGGAGGGCATGCCAGGAGCAGCACCAGGCATGCTGGAAAATGAGATGTCAACCTCGTGAAGCCACCAAACAGGACTACTTGCATGCCAAACAGCATAGACAAAGATGGTGGCGGAATAGGAGGCTCCGGTGGAGATTGTCTGCTCTGCCTGCTTTTCTTCTTTTTTTTTCTCCTCCCCTTCAAATCCCAGTCTCCAGCAACCTCTGGCGAGGAGCGATGATCCCCGGCCTCTGGCGAACAACAACTCCCAGCCTGGCATAGTGGCTATCTGGAGTGGTCTCCTGGCCTGTGCAGCAACCTCCCATAGCAGCCTTGCGGCCTGGCACAGCAGCCTCCCAGCGTGGTGTGGAGTCCTCCTTTGCCCGGTGCAGCAGCCTCCTGGTGTCGACGTGGCAACCTCCTGGCGTGGTGTGACGACCTCCCAGCTTGGCGCAGCATATCCTCCCATAGGAGCCTCCTGGCGTGGCGTGGAGAACTTATGGGCTTCTGGTGTGGCATTTCACTGGCATGGTGTGGATCCAGGGCCGGGTGTGGACTGGAAACTAAGTGCCAGTGTGATTTGCTTGTACTGAAGTCTTTTTTTTTTCTGTAATGCTTTATTTCTGTATTGCAGGGCTGTGCCTAGGTACTTGTATATCTAAGTCGGCGCTGTAACTGGTGACGTATAAACATTTCACTATATTCATTAAGTATTTGTGACAGTAAAGGCTATTCTATTCTATTCTATTCTTCTATAAGCAGCAGGTGATAGACAGAAGTAAGTGATCCAACAATCAACGGATCAGATATAAGCTCTGTAGTCCAGCCACATCTATTCATAAATGTGATGGATAATTAAACAACTCACTGGAGGGGGTGATTCCACAAATATCCCCATCCTCAATGATGAAAGCGCCTAGTGCATCAGTGCAAAAGATAATGCTGAAGCATTCGCTGCAATCTACAGCCAGAGGTGCCAAGTGGATAATCCATCTCAGCCTTCTTCAGTGGTCCCGAGCATTACAGATACCAGTCTTCAGCCAATTCGATTGATTCTATTGAGAAACAGTTGGAGACACTGGATATTCTAAAGGCTATAGGCACTGCCAAATTCCAGCAATAGAACTGAAGATGTATACTCCAGAACTTGCCACTCACCTAGCCAAACTGTTCCAGTACAGTTACAACACTGGTACTTACCCAACAATGTGGAAAATTACTCTGATGTGACCTGTACATAAAAAGCAGGACAAATCTAATCCAGCCAAATACTGCCCTGTCAGTCTACTGTCCATCATCAGTAAAGTGATGGAAGGTGTCATCGACCACGCTGTCAAGCAGCAACTCGTAAGCAATAACCTGCTCAGTTTGGGTTCCGCCAGTGCCACTTGGCCCCGGACCTCATTGCAGCCTTGGTTCAAACATGGACAAAAGAGCTGAATTCTAGAAGTGAGGTGGAATTGACATTCCTTGACATGAAGGCTGCATTTGACAGTGTGGTATCAAGGAACCCTAGCAAAACTGGAATCAGAGTATCAGAGGCAAGCTGTCCAGTGGTCGGAGTTGTACTTGGCACGTAAGAAGATGGCCGCGGCCGTTGGAGGTCATTCATCTCACCTCCAGAACATCTCTGCAGGAGTTCCTCAGGTAGTGTTGTCGGCCCAGCAGCCTTCAGCTGTCCTAAGGCCAGAAGTGGGGATGTTCGCCAATGATTGTGCAATGTTCAGCACCATTTGTGTCTCCTCAGATGCTGAAGCAGTCCATGTTCAAATGCAACAAGATCTGGACAGCCCATTCACTGTACACTGAATCCGCCACTATCAACATCCTGGGGGTTGTGATTGACCAGAAACTCAACTGGACCCACCACATAAACACTGTGGCTACAACAGCAGGTCAGAGGCTAGGAATACTGTCGAGTAACTCGCCTCCTTACTCCCCAGAGCCTGTCTACCATCTACAAGGTATAAGTCAGGAGTGTGATGGTATACTCTGCACTTGCCTGGATGAGTGCAGCTCCAGCAATACTCAACAAGCTTTGACACCATCCAGAACAAAACAGCCTGCTTGATTGGCACTACGTTCACAAAGCATTCTACCTCTGACACTCGGTAGCAGGCAGTGTGTACTATTTATAAGATGTTCTGCAGAAATTCATGAAAGATCCTCAAACAGCATCTTCCAAACTCAGGACCACATCCATCTAGAAGGAGAAGGGCAGCAGATATATAGGAACAACGACCACCTTCAAGTTCTCCTCCAAGCCACTCGCCATCCTGACTTGGAAATGTATCGCTGTTCCTTCACTGTTGCTGGGTTAAAATCTTGGAATTCCCTCCCCAAAGGCATTATGGGTCAGCCCACAGCAGGGGGACTGCAGTAGTCCAAGAAGGCAGCTTGCCAAGGACAACAAGTGCTGGCCAGCCAGCGATGCCCACACCCTACAAATGATTTAAAAAAAATACTCTACCCTATCAGATGATTCTTGATCATTAGCAAAGTGAGGGAAAGGGTCATCAACAGTGCTATCAAACAGTGCTTGTAGAGGAATAACCTCACTGACATTTGGTTTAGGTTCCACCAAGGCAACTTGACTCCTGACCTCATTACAGCCACGTTCCAAACATGGACAGAAGAGCTGTACACCAGAGGTGAGCTGAATGTGACTGCCTTTGTCATCAAGGCAGTATCTGACCAAGCATGGTATTAAGGAACCCTAACAAAACTGGAGTCAATGGGAATTCGGGGGGGAAAAGCTTGCCCAAAGGGAGAGATGATTGTGGTTCTTGGAGGTCAATCATCCCAGCCTTAGGGCATCACTGCATGAGTACCTCAAGGTAGTGTTTTCTTTTGTTTTATTCACTTGTGGTATGTGGGCATTGCTGGCTGGTCACCATTTATTGTCTGTCCCTAGTTGTCCTTGAGAAGGTGGTGGTGATCTGCCCCCTTGAACTGCTGCAGTCCATGTACTGTAGTTGGTGTCCTTGACCCAACTGTCTTCAGCTGTTTCATTTAATGACCTTTTTCGAACCTAAGATCAGAAGTGAGGATGCTTGCTGCTGATCTCTCAATAATTCCTCAGCTACTGAAGCAGTCACCATGTCCAAATGCAGCAAGACCTGGACAACATTCAGGCTTGAGCTCTGTTAGGCACCAATGTTACTTGCCTCCTAAATGCCAGGCAATGATCATCTCCAACAAGAGACAATCTAACCATTGCCTCTTGAAATTTAACGGCATTGTTAATGTTATCAGTTCAATTCAATTTTAGGACCATGGGATTACCATTGACCACACATTGAATTGAACCAGCCGTATGAATACTGTGGCTCCAAGAGCTGGTCAAAGGCTAAGAATTCTGCAGCGAGTAACTCACCATCTGTCTCTCTAATGCATGCCTTTTATCTACAAGGTACGTGTCAGGAATGTGACGGAATATTCTCCTAAATCTGAATCTGAACAATCCTTACTGTGATGATATTGCAGAACCCTTTACTGAGTGAATATTTCTAAACTTCTAGCTTTTATTGTTAGGCATAGCAGGTGAATGCAAAAATCACGATAATATCAAATTTACATAAGTGTGTCTTATCCAGTTTGAAAGTGGTTCAGCTTTTGATTTTTGGTGATTTGTTTCTTTAATATTGGGGAGGAATCCAGTTACTGGTATGTAAGTATGTTTAAAGAAGTTGCTTTCATTATCCCCTAATTGTACATTTTTCTCTACAGGGTTGGATGAATGAAATTTCCAATTATGATCCTGAAACCTACCATGCTACACTGACCCATTCTGTCTTCATTCGCCTTGAGGGGACTGTACTAAGGCTTTCAAAACCGAATAAAAATATTTCTCGAAGGGCTTCTTTCAATGAGGCCAAGACAATAGCCACGTACATTAGTCAGAAGATTTATGACTTAGCAGACAGTAGGGTGAGTGAAGAAGACCTGAAAATATGCAGGTTTGAGGATAATTAAATATGCTAACAATGAATAGTTGCAACTATTGGGGACTATGAGGAAAGGTAAAGTTATGTTTTTTTTTCCCCTCTGCCTTTTCCTCCATCTGATAACATTACATCCACAACCCATAATTCTTGTCTCAGAAATTCATGTCTCTTTGCATGTCTGTTTATATGTGTATGGGAATTTTTTAAAAGGGGTAGAGTTTAAGCCATAAAATCATTAGGCGTTCATTTTTTCTCTTGCCATTGGTTAAAAACAGTTGGTTTGCAATAAATAACTAGTTTCTTGTTGGAAAAATGGGAAAAAAAGCTGGTGTATTTATTATTTTAAGCTAAAAAAGATAAAATTAGACAATTCGGTCGTTTGATCAAATTTTATGTTTGTGATGACTCTGGGAATAATGGTGCTTGATTTCCAGCACACTACCTTGGCGAGCTGTGACAATACCCAACTTTGGCATGTTGAATAACATCTTTCCTCTGGCCTCTTAAAAAGGTAAAGTTAGAAAGTGATTAAATCAATAAGGGACTAAGTACAGGAGGCAGTCATAGAATAGGTACAGCACAAAAGAAAGCCATTTGGCCAGCTAACTCTATACCACAATTCTGCAAGCTAGTTCCCTTCCCATTGTCCTGTATATTTTGTATATCACTTGTTCAATTCCACTTTGAAAGAAATTTTAAGAAAGAATTAGAATTGTAGACCTATTATTAAAAAATGAAACATGCCTGGAGAAAGGAGGAACTCCACTGTAGCATGCGGGGTTCGATATTTATAAAGTAGGAAAATTAACAGATTTAATTATGATAAAAGACAAGTTTTCTAAATTTTGTCACTAATAACATTGCAGCACTTAAAATTAACTGGGTGCAAGCAAAAGTAGTTAAATCAAAACCAGCAGGCACAAGTGGGAATTCTTCTAATATCTCATCCTGAGGCGATATGGTTTTGCTGAATGTATGCACTGTTATGGTGTCCAGTGTTTCATTGTGCTGTTACCCAAACCACTACTATTTTTGAAAAAGCAAGTTGTGGAACATATTAACCTCCTGCAACCTGGACAACCTGCATGCTTTGGTTGAAACCAAAATCTACACTGTTATGGAAGGTTGTGCTATCTGAGTTTTATTTCCTGTCTGAGAATTTCTCTAACTTCAACAAAGTGGTTTATCTGAATATAACTTATAATAGAAAATCATTTTTAAGTAACACTAAAGTAAAAAGATACAATACAACGGAGTAACCTTTATGTTTGACAGGTGCATTTAGTTCCAAAGGATCTGGCTAGGAAAAGAGTATGGAATAAGAAGTACCCTATTTGCATTGATCTTGCCAGACAAGATGACTTTATGTCAAAGACGCAGGCAGAGAAGGCAAATATGGAGGAAAAGCTGCCTGCTGATAAAATTGAAACTGCACTTGAGGAACCAATGAAATCTTCTGTGTCACAAGATTCTGCAAAGCCAATTTGCCAAAAGGACCAAGTTTTATATCTTTTTGGAAGGACTGGTAGAGAAAAAGAAGAATGGTTCAGGAGGTTCATTTCAGCCTCAAAATTGAAAGTTGATGCTAAGCGACCAGCCAGTCTAGGAGGTGGTGGCATACCAGGTGAACCAATGTTTTCTATGCTACTGAAATCACAATGGGAGGATAGTTTTAACAAGGTGTTTATATATGATGTAACCAATTTTATTGGAGATGATTTGTTAGAAAAAAAATGCACATGTAGAATCATAAGAATTTCAGCACAGTTGTGGGTCACTTGATCCAGTACACTGAGCTACTGTTAGTGAACTACTACTTCCTGCTATTTTTCTTATGCCATTGGTCTTTCTTATATTGTTAAAGTTAAGGTAGCTTCTACAACCATATGCACTGGTGTGTTCCATATTCTAATGATGTTTTGCACTAAGATGGTTCTGGTGTCACTGCTTGTGCTTCTGATGTGGAGGTGCCGGTGTTGGACTGGGGAGGACAAGGTCAGAAATCCCATGACGCCAGGTTATAGTCCAACAGGTTTATTTGGAAACTCGAGCTTCTCAGAGTCTCGCTCCTTCTTCAGGTATTAGTGACAGAGGAGACATCAGACACAGAATTTACATGTAAAAGATCAAAGGATCACACAGCTGATGAGGATGTATGAAACAAACCTTAGATGCTGTTAAATCTTTAATCAGTTAGAAAGTTTTAATTGATTAATATGTATATGTAAATCCATGAATTTCTTTCAAGTCACTGCCCTGAGAGAACTAAAGGTTTTATCAGTGTGAAGAGGTGACGTTTTAAGTCAGACAATGCATGTTAGGTGTGAGGCCTTGTTTAGAATCTGTTTTGGTTTGGAGTCAGACTGGTTTTATTTCTAAAGTAGGAATTTATAACATGACTGACTGACTGACTGACTGTCTATAAATTGTGTGATTTTTGAACGAAATGGAATGTATCTGCATATAAAGAGGGTTCAGAAAAGATATACAGGATGTTGCCAGAAATGGAGGGCTTAAGTTATAAAAATAGGCTGGGACTTTTTTTTTTCCATTGGAGCACAGTAGTTTGGGGGGTGACCTTATAGAGGTTTATAAAATCCTAAGTGGCATAGATAAGGTGAATAGCAAGGGTATTTTTCCTAAGGTGGGGGAGTTCAAAACTATGGGACTTACATTAAGGTGAGAGGAAATAATTTTAAAAAGGACACGAGGGGCACCTTTTTCACACACAGTGGTTTGTGTGTGGAATGAACTGCGAGAGGAAGTGGTTGATGTCGGTACAGTTACAACTTTGAAAAAAACATTTGGATAAGAACATGAATAGGAAAGGTGTGGAGGGATATGGGCCAAACGCAGGCAAGTGGGACTAGTTTCATTTGGGAACATGGTTGGCGTGGACTGGTTGGACCGAAGGGTCTGTTTCTATGCTGCATGACCCTATAAGTAATGTAAATCTCCATCTATAATGCACATTTCCTCCTGCAAGATGATCTGTTATGTGAACATATACTTGAAAAAATATTTCCATGGGGCTTAGAAGTGAATCTCTAAATCTTAATTGAACTGTTTGAAATGCAATGTGAAACTGTTCGTGTCTACTGACACCAGCATTACAATGATAAATCCCAACTACCCGCAACAACCTCTGTTTTTTTCTACAGACTGCACTTGCACACTATAAAGCCAATTTTTACAAACTCATTAAACTTTTCTACATTTTTGTGTGTTTATTCAGTTTTCAACAATCTTGATTCAAATTTTATTCAGAGATTCTGCAGTTGCTGTGCATGCTCCAGGGTTTCAGCAGACAGACTTATGGAAAATTTTGCGGGGTATTCATGCTCATCACATTTAATTTTTGGAACCTTTCCAAACTTTCATTATCTTAATTGAATTGAAATCCACACCTTTCTGCTCAGTGTTGCTGTACTGGAGTGTCTTCAGTTTCTTGGCTTCTTTGTCTGCCTTGCAAGGGCACATCACATTGCTGAAAAAATTGCAAGTTCTAGGATCCAGAAGTTCTGAAAGTTAGAATAGGGGCTAATGTCACACTTGGACCATTTATAAGAAATTACAACTAATTAAACACTACAGCTCTGAGGACTTCACTGTAATGTAATCTGCTTAAAGAAGGCTATTATAGAAAGAAAAAGAAGTAGAGAGATTTTGGAAGAGAATTTTAGAACTAAGGGTGTAGATGGCTGTTATGATCCCTAATAAGATTGTCTACTTACAAATAAAAATAATTTACTAGTCACTGGCCAGAGTGGAACTTAAATTGACAAAGTTTGAGATTGCAGGTACTTAGAGAATGAACTCACAGGATTTCACAGTTTTGAGCAAACAGAAATAAACTTTACTATAAAAAGTCAGAACAATAATACAATCTACAATGTACGTACAATTCACACTGTAACATTCATTAGCATGGGTATTAGATAAACTGTGACCAAATGCTCTGAAACAGGCCATTCAGTCAAGACCGATTCCACAAATTTCTTTAATTCCACCAACAACAACACTGTCTGCTCCCCCCCCCTCAGCCCCACCCCCACCCCCACCCCTACCTTCTCACCTTCTCACCTGGTCATTAATGATGCTGTGGGTCACCAAGATCAGGGTTAGGATTAGAAAGAAGCAAAGGTGCTGTGCTACTTCATTTTCTTAAGGAACATTGATAATAACTTTTATTCATTTTATGTCTAAGGTGGTTTAAAGATTAACTTATCATTATGTCTCCAACTTTTGTTTTAACCAAAAACAGAAATTGCTGGAAAATGTCAGCATGTCTGGCAGCATCTGTGGAGAGAAATTAGAGTTAACATTTCAGGTCCAGTGACCCTTCTTCAGAACTGATTATAGCTAGGAAAGTGTTGTTTTTTATGTAGAAGATAAGATTGGGGGGAGGGGCTAAGGAGTAAATGATAGGTGGAGAGAGAGCCTAAAGAGTGAGAATAGTTGGACAGACAAAGGGAGTGGATAATGGTCAGTCTAGGAGAATGAATGGCTGCTAATAAGGAATCTTAGTGGATAACAATGGATAGTGTGTAATAGCAGACCATGTGATAACAAGGCTTGGTGTGTGGGGGTGGGGTAAGGACATGGGAGAAGGTGCCTTAACCCCTAACATTGTTGAAGTCGATATTGAGTCCAGAAGGCTGTAGAGTTCCCAAGTGGAAATGAGGTGCTGTTCTTCCAGCTTGCGCTTGAGCCTGAGGCAGAGATTTGGCCATGGGACAAGGTTGTGTGTTGAAGTGCCAGGCAACTGGAAGCTCAGGGCCTTGTTTGCGGATGGAACATAGGTGTTCTGCAAAGTGGTCATCCAGTCTATGCTTTGTTTCCCCAATATAGAGGAGGCAGTGAATGCAGTAGACTAGATTGAGTGAGGTGGAAGTGAAGCACTGCTTCACCTGGAAGATGTGTTTGGGCTCTTGGATACTGAGGAGGGAGGAAATAAATGGATGAGTGTTACACCTTCTGCAGTTGCAGGGACGTGTGGTGTTGGGTGTGAAGGAGAAGTGGACCAAGGTGTCCCGGAGGGAACAGTCCTTGTGGAAGGCTGACAAGGAGGAGAGGGGAATGTGTGTCGGGTGGAGGCATCCCGCTGGAGGTGGTGGAAATGGTGGCTAATGATCTTCTGGATGTGGGTGCTGGTGGGGGATGGTAGGTGAGGTCAAGGTGAACCCTATTGCTGTTGTGGGAGGGAAGAGAGTGGGTGAGGCTGCAGTGTGGGAGATGTTTGGATCTGAATGAGGGCCCTGTCAACTATGATGCTGGAGAATGTTTGGGTGAAGAAGGTGAACATTTTGGAGGCCTCCTTGTCGAAGTTGACATTGTCAGAACAGATGCAATGGAGACTGACAAACTGGGAGAATGGAATAGTGTCTTTGCAGGAAGTAGGGTGTGAGGATGTATAGTCAAGATAATTGTGGGAGTCAGTTGGTTTGTGGTAGATTTTTGTGTCCAGTTTATCATCAGAAATGAAAACAGATGTCAAAGAGGAGAAGGGAGGAATCAGCGATGGACCAGGTGAAGGTGAGAACAGGATGGAAATTGAAAGTGAAATTGATAAGTTTTTCCAATTCTGGACGAGAGAAGGAAGCAGCACTGATAATATCATCGATGTACCTGAGAAAGAGTTGTGACTGGGGGCCGGAATTGGACTGGAACAAAGAATGTTCCAAGTACCCCACAGAGAGACAGGCATAACTGGGGCCCATGTGGGTACCCGTGAGCACCCCTTTGACCTGAAGAAGGTGAGAGGAGTTTAAAAAAGTTGTTAAGAATGAGGATGAGCTCAGCCAGGCAGAGGATTGTGGTGGTGGATGGGGACGGTTCAGGCCTTTTTTTCCAGAAAGAAGCGGAGAGCCCTGGGACCATTCTGATGAGAGATGGACATGTAAAGGGATTGCACATCTTTGGTAAATAGGCGGCTGGAGCCCACAAATTGTATATTCTGAAACTGATGTAAAGCGTCAGAGGAGTCATGAATGTGAATGGGAAGGGGAAAAGAATCCAAGTTGAGGCAGGAAGAGAGGAGTTCTGTGGGGAAGGAGCAGGCAGAAACAATGCATCTACCTGGGCAATGCTGTGGATTTTGGGAAGGAGGCAGAAGTGAGCTGTGTGGCATTGGGTGACTATGAGCTTGGAGGCAGTGGAATGTGGTCAGTGACTGTTGTGGTTTCAGTTGCCTGATATTTCAAGGTATGGTCATGGTCCAGAAGGAGATTAGGAGGAGATATCTGATATCGGAGAGCTGGCGGTCAGCCTCTGCAATGTAGAGATCGGTATGCCAGACAGCAACAGCACCACTCTTGTCAGCAGGTTTAATTACAGAATCAGGGTTGGATCTAAGAGCACAGAGTGCAGTCAGTTCACAGTGAGATGGATTGGAATGTGTGAGCGGGGGGCAGAGAAATTGAGGTGACCAGTGTCACGTCGACAGTTCTCGATGAACACGTCAAGTGTAGGTAAACAGCCAAAGGGAGGGGTACAGGTGGAGGGAGAGTGTTGGGGGTGAGTGAAGGGGTCTGTGTGACGAGGAAAGAAATTTTTTTTGCCTATTTATATGTGGGATGTGGGCATCACTGGCTGGCCAGCATTTAATGCCTGCTCCTAATTTACCTCAAGAAGGTGATGGTGAGCTGCTTTCTTGATCCACTGCAGTCCACCTGCTGTGGATTGACCCATAGTGCCATTAGGGAGGGAATTCCAGGATTTTGACCCAGCGACAGTGAAGGAACAGTGATCCATTTCCAATTCAGAATGGTGAGTGGTTTGGAGGAGAAATTGAAGGTGATGGTGTTCCCATATATCTGCTGCCCTTGTCCTTCTGGAAGGACGTGGTTGTGGGTTTGGAAGGTGCTAACTGAGGATATTTGGTGAATTTTTGCAGTGCATCTTATAGATAGTATGCACTGCTTCTACTGAGCACAGTGGTAGAAGAAATGGGGGCTTGTAGATGTAGTGCCAATCAAGCAGGCTGCTTTGTCCTGGATGGTGTCAAGCTTCTTGAGTATTGTTGGGACTACACTCATCCAGGCAACTGTATCACACTCCTGACTTGTGCCTTGTAGATGGTGGACAGGCTTTGAGGAGTCAAGAGGTGAGTTACTTGCCGCAGTATTCCTGGATTCTGACCTGCTGTTGTAGCCACTGTGTTTATGTGGTGAGTCCAGTTGAGTTTCCGGTCAATGATAACCTCCAGGATGTTGATATTGGGGGATTCATTGATGGCAACATCGCTAAATGTCAAGGGGTGGTGATTAGATTGTCCCTTGTTGGTGATGGTCATAGCCTGGCATTTGTGTGGCGCAAATGTTACTTGCTACTTGTCAGCCCAAGCATGGACATTGTCAGATCTTGTTGCATTTGAACATGGACTGCTTCAGTGTCAGGGGAGTTGTGAATGGTGCTGAGCATTGTGCAATCATCGGTGAACATACCCACTTTTCATCTTATGATGGAGGGAAGGTCATTGATGAAGCAGCTGAAGACTGTTGGGCCTACAACACTACCTTGAGGAATTCCTGCAGAGATGCCCTGGAACTGAGATTACTGATCTCCAACAACCACGACCGTCTTCCTTTGTGTCAGATATGACTCCAACCACTGGAGAGCTTGCCCCGATATCCATTGATTCCAGTTTTGCTAGGGCTCCTTGATGCCACACTCTGTCAAATGCAGCCTTGATGTCAAGGTTTGTCACTCTCCTGTCACCTCTGGAATTCAGCTGTTTTGCCCAGCTTTGAACCAAGGCTGTAATGAGATCAGGAGCTGAGTGACCCTGGTGGAACCCAAACTGGGTGTTGCTGAGCAGGTGCTGCTTGATAGCACTGTTGATGACACCTTCCATCACTTTACTGATGATTGAGAGTAGACTGATGGGGCTGTAATTGGCTGGGTTGGATTTGTCCTGCTTTTTATATCTGAGTAATTTTCCATATTGTCGGGTAGATACCAGTGTTGTAACTGTACTGGAACAGCTTGGCGAGGGGAGTGGGAAGTTCTGGAGCATAAGTCTTCAGTACTCTTGCAGGAACATTGGCAGGGTCCATTGCCTTTGCAGCATGCAGTATCGCCAACTGTTTCTCAATGTCATGTGGAGCGAATTGAATTGAAGACTGGAATCTGTAATGCTGGGGACCACTGGAGGAGGCCGAGATGGATCATCCACTTGACACTTCTGACTGCTGCTAAAATTTCAGCCTTATCTGTTGCACTGATGTGCTGGGCTCTTCTGTCATTGAGGATGGGGTTATTTGTGGAGCTGCCTCCTCCAGTGAGTTGTTTAATTGCCCACCACCATTCATGGCTGGATATGGCTGGACTGCAGAGCTTACTGCTGATCCATCGGTTGTGGGATTACTTGGCTCTGTCTATCACTTCCTGCTTATGCTGTTTGGCATGCAAATGGTCTTGTTTCGTGACTTTGCCAGATTGACACCTCATCTTCAGGTATGCCTGGTGTTGCTCCTGGCATGCCCTCTTGCACTCTCCATTGAAGCAGGGTTAAGCCCCTGGCTTGATGGTAATGGTTGAGTTGGGGGTAGGCCAGGCCAAGAGGTTACAGATTGTGCTGGAGTACAATTCTGCTGTTGATGGCCCACAGTGTCTCATGGATGCCCAGTCTTGAGTTGCCTGATCTGTTCGAAGTCCACCCCTATTAGCACGCTGATAGTGCCACACAACATTTTGGAGGTTATTCTCAATGTGAAGGCAGGACTCTGTCTCCACAAGGACTGTGCGATGGTCACTCTTACTGATCCTGTCATGGAAAAATGCATCTGCAGCTGGCAGATTGGTAAGGATGAGGTCAAGTATGTTTTTCCCTCTTGTTGGTTCCCTCACTGCCTGCTGCAGACCCAGTCTAGCAACTATGTACTTTAGGACACAACCAGTTTGATCTGTAGTACTGCTACGAAGCCACTCTTGGTGGTGGACATTGAAATCTCCCACCCAGAATACATTTTGTGCCCTTGCCATCCCCAGGGCTTGTCCAAAGCACTGAGTGCAAAGGGAACGGAAGAAGAGTTCAATATCATGTTCTGCCCGAAATTCATTAAGGTGGGATGCAGAGGGATAAAACTGAGAGGTTAGCTAAGTTTTTTTTTCATTTTTTTACACACTAACATGAATGTGTGTGCTCCTGGAGTATTAATGGGAACTTGCTTGCATTGGGAGAGTTTTATGAATGCATAGAATAAACATTTGAGAATCATTAGCCTGCTTTTAGTGAACGGCCACCTCATTAAATTGAAACAAAATCAGATTTCAGTCTAGGATCTGATATGTCCAGTAATTACTATGGCTGGCATTATTGCAATGGTCAAATTTTGTTCATAATTTATAAGTTACATCCTTTGAAAATTATTAATCCTGAATTTATATATTAATGTTATTGTTCAGTTTGTCATTCCCTTACTGTTAATAGATTTAATGTATTAATATTTCGTCTTGAATCTCTGTGCTGCAATTCTATTTATTACCAGTTGAAATCATTCAATAATGGAACAAAAAGTTCAATTTAATATCTGAAGTAATATTTACAGCAAGTAATTGTATATTCAATATGTTGAGCTTTTCAATGATAGATTTAATAAGGCGCACAGATTTTGAATTCTTGCTCAGTCAGCCAGTTTTTTTCTCCTTCAGAGTACATTAGAAGCTTCGATATTTTAGATTTGATGCTTGAAGCTGGATGTAAAACTGTTGTGAAGAATTTTTAAGATACTTCAGTGTTCACATTACTAATCAATTGTGCTTTATTTTAGGTTTTGTGCCATCACACAGTAGGAACAATAGCCATTCAGGAATGTTGACTCATAGTCGCAATAGTAGTAAAGGAAGTATTGAAGAAATCATGTCACAGTCAAGACAGAAAGATCTCATGTCTAGTGTACGCCAGAAAATGCTTCTGGACTATACTTTGTATATGGGAAAGTACATTCCTGAAGACCCCTCTAGTCCCAATGTAAGTCCTGTCCACAGTGCAGAAAATAGTCCTACAGTGAACAATAAGGTAAGAAAAAACAAGTTAGTTATGCTTTTTGATATTTTTCTTCCAATACACACCTTTAGAGTTAAGGCTGTTTCAGTTTTTTTTTAAACCTTAAAGCAAAACTGTTGAGCTTGAAGATAACCTCCATAAAAGCTATCAGTGTTGCTTCTGGGGACGGTGGCCCGATATCTTTTTGTTGTTTTCCCACAGTCATGCTATTTTGTCAGATGTGGGCAAGATGATGTAGTGACTGCCTGCCAAGAGCCAAATGAGCTATTTAAGTGGCCAATTAAGAGTCACTTCCTGCCTCCACTGGTGGGCTCACATAAGGCTTCTGGGGAGATCTTCCTTTTTGCAAGATCTGTACCCCGTGGAGTTAAAGCAATGATCACGTATTAATATTTTATGTATCATTTAATAGTCCTATTCATTTTCTTTACGTTAGTTGCCAAGCAGCCAAATTGAGAACTCGGAACAACAAGTGGCTTGGGTCAATGCACTGGTTGGAAGAGTCTTCTGGGACTTCTTGGGTGAAAAGTATTGGTCAAACTTAGTGTCTCGAAAAATCCAGATGAAACTCAGCAAGATTAGGGTACGTGATCAACGTATTCAGCCCATAAATCAACGCTTATCGGTATAAATTTGTTTGCAGTTAATTTAATTTTCCTTGGCACATATACTTAGTTCCATCTTGTTTATGCAGAATCATAGAAATTGGAAAGTTTTGCATTTTCCAAGTCTTTGATCATAGATATATTCTGCCGTCAGATGTTTGGGGAAAAAAACTGTTGTTCATAATATTTTTAATCAGTGGCTGCTCCCAAGAAGGTATTATCCATACAATTTTGGACCCTGTGCCTTGAGCTATTTGGTGGTGAAGGCCCAGTAAATCTTTGTTCATGTGCTCCCGGTTCCATTCCCTCATCTTAATTGTTTGAACTTCATGGAATGTTACACTAGTGATGTAAGTATCAGCAAGGGGTGGATTTATTTGAGAGAGCAAGTGAGAAGTAGGAGGCACAGTTATCACAAAATATATAATGGGGCCTCAGAATTACCAGACTTTGCTGTCTAAAGCAGAACCTCAGAATTATTGCAGAGCAGGGACCAGCAATTTGACCCAAAGTCTTTGCATCAGTTGTCCGAATGAGCATTTCAGTTAGTGCCATTTTGCTGCCTTCTACCTGAAATGTTTCCTGTTATTCCCTTTCAAAATATTTTTCCTAAAGTCTAGTCCTTTGGAATGCCTCAATTGAACATGCTTCCACCATAATACATTGCATTCCAAACCCTAACCACTCACTGCATAAAAATGTTCTTTTTGTATTGCATTTGGTGTCTTTTACTAATTATTTTATGCTGTGCCCTCTTGTTCTTGATCCTTGCATGAAGAGGAACAGTTTCTCCCTACCTATTCTATCTAGACCCCTCATAATTTTGAATACTTCTCTCTGCCTTCTCCAAGGAAAACTGTCCAAAGTACCCCAATATATTTTTCTACCTGAGATTTATTTTCCTTGGAGCTATTCTCATAAACAAGACCATAAGATGTAGGAGCAAAAAATGCTATTTTGCCCATTGCATTTGCTCTGCTGTTCAATGAGATCGTTGCTGATGTGATAATACTCAACTCCACTTCTTTGTCATTTCTCCATAAAAGGTAACCAGACAATGGGAGGCGATGGCCTAGTGGTATTATTGCTGGATTATTTATCCAGAGACCCAGGGATATTCTGGGCACCTGGGTTTGAATCCTGCCATGGCAGATGGTGGAATTTGAATTAAATAAAAAAGAATCTGGAATTAAGAGTCAAATGATATCCATGAATCCATTGTCAATTTATTAGAAAACCCATTTGGTTCGCTAATGTCCCTTAGGGAAGGAAACTGCCATCCATACCTGGTCTGGCCTAATTTTGACTCCAGTCCCACAGCAATGTAGTTGATTCTTAACTGGCCTTTGGGTAATTAGGGATGCAAAATAAATGCTGGCCTAGCCAGCGACACCCTTATCCCGTGAATGAATAAAAAAAAACCATAGGACTGCTCGCTTATTAGAGAGAGATGGCAGGTGGTGGTTCAACCCAAGGGTCACCATGCCTCAGGCAAGGGCACAGGTTGAGGAGGAGAGTCCTTCGTGGTGTGGGAATTGAACTCACGCTTTTTGCATTACTTTGCGTTGCAAGCCAACTATCCGGCCAGCCCTTGAAAGGAACACAGAACATACAAGTAGGCCATTCATCCCATCAAACTTGCTCCACTATTCTGTATTATCATGGCTGACTGCCTAAATCGGTACTCTGTTTGCACTTTCTTCCCATACCCTTTGATCCCTTGTTTCCCATCCTGATTAAAAATCTATTTTAACCTTGAAATTAACGACCCAGCTTCGATAGCTCTCTGCAGTAAAAAAAATTCTATAATTTCATTAAAATCAGAAGAAATTCCTCCTCATCATCTGTCTTAAATTGACTACCCTTTTATTCTTAGAACATGCCCTTTGCCATGAGGCTCTTCCATAAAGGGAATCAACCTCTTCGCATCCACCCTGTTAAGCCACCTTGGCATTTTTTATGTTTCAATTAGGTTGCCTTTCATTCTTCTAAACATTATTGAGTATGGACCCAAACTACTCATCCTGTCCTCGTAAGACAATCCCTCCATATATGAGATCAACCTATTGAACCTTCTGTGGACTGCCTGCAATGCCAGTATATCTTCCTTAGATAAGGTGACCAAAATTGTTTTCAGGATTATGGTCTGACTTGTACCTTGTATTATTTTAGCAAAACTTTTTCTTCATTATCCATTCCCTTTGAAAGAAAGACAATATTCCATTTCCTTTCCTGTTACTAGCTGCACCAGTATTCTTTGTATTTTATGCATGAGAACCCAAAATCCCTCTGTATTGCTCCTTGCTGCAGTCTTTCTCCAAAGAAGTAATATTCTGAAAGGTCCCATAATCCACTTGTTTGACCCCATCCACCCTGAGTTAAACTTGAACATACTTGGTCTTAATTAAGTTTTCTAATGATTTAATCTTAAGGATTCTCCATGTATTTTAATTTTAGTCTCCCTCTCTTATTCTCTGATTTTTAGTTATCTGGTGCTTCTTAGTTAATTCCTTAGTAATCTCCAAACACTTGGACTTTGGTCTGCTCCTGCCCCCACAGATCTGTGAAAGTAGTTAGGAAAGCAAGACAGCACAAAAAAAAAACTCCCTCATGACTTACCAAACTGCTGCACTCCACTTTCTGTAAATTGCACTCTGCGCTAGTTGCACAGAGGTATCTCTTATATTCTGCCTGAGCTGTTTCACGAGCTGGTTTAAACCAGATTAACTGTCAGCGCCGGTTAACTATTTAAATTACAGCAGCTCCACCCACTAGAAGAGATAGCAAGAACTACAGATGCTGGAGTCAGAGATGACACAATGTGGAGCTAGAGGAAAACAGCAGGCCAGGCAGCATCAGAAGAGTAGGAAAGTTGACGTTTCAGGTTGGGACCCATCAGCAATGGGGAGGGGGAAGGGAGCTGGGAAATAGAGAGAGAGAGAGAGAGAGAGAGGGAGGAGGGGTGGGGCTGGGGAACGTAGGTGGGATGGTGATAGGTAAATGTAGGTAGGGAGTGGTGGGGATGGGTGGGGCAGATAGATGGGAAAGAAGATGGACAGGTTTTGTCAGGTCAAGGAGGCGGGGATGAGAGGGAAGGTTGGACATGGGATGAGGCCGGGGGTGGGGAGATTTTAAGACTGGTGAATTCCATGTTTAGGCCATTGGGCTGTAGGCTCCCGAGGTGGAATATGAGATGTTACTCCTCCAGTTCGCTTGTGGAGGCATTGTGGCATTGGAGGAGGCCCAGGACGGACATGCCTTGCAGGGTATGGGAGCCGGAGTTGAAATGGTTGACAACAGGAAGGTGTTGTCGCGTACAGAGCACAGATGCTCAACGAAACGGTCTCCGAGTCTGTGCTTGGTCTTACCGAAGTAGAGGAGGCCACATTGGGAGCAGATACAGTAGACCAATTTGGTGGATGTACAGGTGAACCCCTGTTTGATATGAAAGGTTTGCTTTGGGCGTTGAATGGAGGTGAGGGGGGAGATGTAGGGGCAGGTGTAGCAATTCCTGTGGTTGCAGGGAAAGGTGCCGGGTATGGTGGGATTAGTGGGGAGTGTGGAGCAGACGAGAGAGAGCGGTCCCCACAAAATGCAGATAGCGGTTGGGGGGTGGAATATCGCTTTGGTCATGGGGTTGGATTGTAGGTGGCGGAATTGGTGGAGAGTGATACACTGGATGCGGAGGTTAGTGGGGTGATATGTGAGGACAAGGGGGATTCTGTCTTTATTTTTGTTGGGGGGAGCAGTTTTGAGGGCAGAAGTGTGGGAAATGTAAGAGATGCCGTGGAGGGCATTTTTGATCACCGGAGGAGAGAAGTTGCGGTCAACAGCAAACACAGAAGTGAAACAACCTATGGTTAGAGAAATAGTTTCTCATTATTTTTGTCCATTCCATTTGTGAGTTGTTTATTTCTATTATTGTCCAGGAAAATTAAATCATAAGGGCAATTTTGGGAATCTCAGGGGTGGATCCACCCTTTGACCCTGTGTTAATTTTGAGCATTTCTGTCCACCTCTTGCACACTGGCAGCAATGAGTTCCATCCACTGGATGTGTTGTAGAACTGGTCAACACATCTTTAGTAGCACCTTTTCAAAAATGCATCCATTCTAGAAGAACAAAGGTAGCAGGGCTGTGGAATTAGCACTGCCTGTACATCTCTCACCATTCTACATTGAAAGTATTATCGCTGTTGTTTTACTGTAACTGGGTCAAAATCCTGGAGCTCCGGAGCAACAACGTTGGTTAATCTATACCACGTGAAATTTAGCAAATCAAGATGACTCAGCAGCACCATTGTTTTCTTTTGCGGGGGGTGGGGGGTGCGGGGCGGGAGGGTAGATGTAGATGAAAGGTTTGGCCATTAAATGCTAGCCTTGCCAATGATGCTACTAACCTTGAATAAATTTGATTGGTCATGAAATTTGATGTTTTCAACTTGTGCAAACATAATTTGCCATTTCTTCCAAAATTTTAATTGCAAGATTTGCCAGTGGTTAGCGGGCATTGGTCAGCATAATGAACATTGTTCACTGGCTGTTGACTGCAAGTTCTGAGTCGTCATATGTTTAAACCTATTCAAATTAAATTTTCTTCATGGATATTGTGTTGTATTTAAGGATGGCTTCATAACACTGATGTAAATGCTTCAACTGCAGTCTATGGACTGTAAATCCGGTTGTCCTTTTCAACTCACAGATTACCCTGGCTGGCCACACGGTTACTTTTTATTTTCTTTCAGGTTTTTATACTTCCATGTCAAAACCTTTTAAATCCGTTCAGATGATAAATTACTTTTACAAATGCATTAACATAAGTAGCCAAATGTTCCCTCCGTAAGAAAGTTAAATTTATCATTTTTAATTAAATAGGAATGTATAAGCCTGTCAAACAGGTAGAAATTGATGGTGATATGCACTGAATATGTAAGTGGATTAGTTCAAAATGATATTCCTTGTGTCAACCAGGAAGCAAA